GTTTTTTTTTTTGAGACAGGGTCTTGCTCTCCTGCCTAGGCTGGTGTGCAGTGGTGCAATCATAGCTCACTGCAGCCTCAAATTCCTGGGTTCAAGTGATCCACCCACCTCAGGCTCCAAAGTACTGGGATTATGGGTGTGAGCCACCATACCTAACTGGAATTTTAAAGCAGAATTTTAGAGTTCTTTCCCTATGTTCCTTCTCTGGGACCCTGTCCTTCAGATCCCAGCCCTTGGATCTCTGCCTTTTTTGCTTAGTAAGACTTATGCTTTCTGTCTGGGTTTTGTTGCCCTATGCCATTTTAGAAAATGCCTTCAGAAAGAAAGCCAATATAAATGTAAGGCTCATCTCATGTCCTTGCCCTGTCTTAAGGAATATGGCCTTCCTTGGTGCAATGTCCTACCAGTTCTTTTATATATTTTATCTAACTTTTGCAGTTGTTTATAGTGCTATAGTAACCTGGATATTAGGCACTGCATCATAGCTAAAACTGAAAGCTCCTCATGGTTATACATTTAAAGTGAAACTATGTTGCACGGCTGTATTGTTTTCTCTAGCCCTGTCTGCAGGTATAGTGCAGGCAGAGTTGGAATTATTTAGTGTGGTGATTTTGCTAAGCAATGATGATGAAATCAGAGAAGGGAAAAGGGCAATGTAACTGCAAACAAGTGATTATACTGCTTCACTGGGGAATTTAAGGAGTAGAATGGTTACATGACGTGGTTGAGAAGCAGGAAAAGGTGGCAGAAACAATGGAGTAAAGATCCTGGTAGCATCAAGAAACTGCTAGGTTTGGGGTAGAGAAAGTTAGCTAGAAAGACAGCAAGTGGTGGTCAGAAAGTAGACGGATGAAATAGATTCTGAAAGGATTGCAGTTATTGGTAACATTAAGGTTTAAGGTATGAAGATAGGAAGACTGGCTAAGGTAGAGTGAAAGACAAGATTACATAGGAGAAGAGTTCAAGCCACATGAAACCAAGGTAATAGAAAAATCATCACCATGTGTATTAAGGTGACAGTGAATTAAGACAGGAGAGGAGTTGTGTTGGAAAGGACAAGGATGAGTCATTAAATGAGAAGAACTTATCAGCAAATAACAGCAACAAGACAAAGTGGGTGAAAAAATTTGACGGCATTAGATCTACAGTTGGAGGTATTAGGGAAGAAGGATATGTTAGATAATATGCAAAACCCGTAAGATTAGCAAAACAGTTTTTCCTAAAGACTGAATTTTATGTGATTTCACTCTCAACATTAGGATCTTCAGAAGAATTTGAGAAGTAACAAACTAAAATAGTACTCAATGATAGCTGAATTTCAAGTGAGCTAAAATTTCTTTCCCCCTAGAAACTACTCCTCTTTATTAATGGCAGATATATCTCTTAAAGTACCGGTTTTATAAATAGGTTTTGTTAGGAGAAATAAAACAAGAAAATGATCTCAAAATAATCTACTGAAGAAAAGAAGGCAAATTAATATTTTTAAAAATATACCAGGCTGGGCACGGTGGCTCAGGACTGTAATCCCAGCACTCTGGGAGGCCGAGGCAGGTGGATCACCTGAGGTCAGGACTTTGAGACCAGCCTGGCCAACATGGCAAAACCATCTCTTCTAAAAATACAAAAAATTAGCCAGACGTGGTGGTGGGTACCTGTAATCCCAGCTACTTGGGAGGCTGAGGCAGGAGAATTGCTTGAACCCAGGAGACGGAGGTTGCAGTGAGCTGAGACTGCACCACTGTACTCCAGCCTGGGCGACAGAGCAAGA